CTACCTACCTACCTACCTACCTACCTACCTACCTACCTACCTACCTACCTACCTACCTACCTACCTACCTACCTACCTACCTACCTACCTACCTACCTACCTACCTACCTACCTACCTACCTACCTACCTACCTACCTACCTACCTACCTACCTACCTACCTACCTACCTACCTACCTACCTACCTACCTACCTACCTACCTACCTACCTACCTACCTACCTACCTACCTACCTACCTACCTACCTACCTACCTACCTACCTACCTACCTATCTATCTATCTATCTATCAATCTGTCAATCACCAACCAATCAGTCAATTGATTCATAATCAATCGCTTAACCGTTCGAGGTAACTGGCCTAGGACCGACTTTTAAGATGTGTATATCGGTACAAAACACATCCCTAAATGTATCGTGCCATCACTATTTCATAGCCTTCGTGTATGATCCTGGATTCTATAACATTCTGGACAATATTATTTTCGTTGGTTTGCTGTTCGTTATTGACTTAATCATTGTTATCACCATCATCAGTATCATCTTCACTATCATCATCATCATCGTCAACAACCTCATCATCATCGTCATCATCATCAGCATCATATCCACTATCATCATCATCACTATTGTCAACAACTTCATCATCATCATCATCGTCATCAGTTGCCGGCGATAGGACCGAGTCTATCATACAGAACATCGACGTTTGCCTATTGCGTCACCGATAAAACGTTTGCCGACGTCATCAAGGTTTGCGTATTCATGATTATGATGACAATGATGATGATGATTATGATGATGATGATGATGATGATGATGATGATGATGATGATGATGATGACAATGATGATGATGATGATGACAATGATGATGTCCTATTGGAGATATTTAAAATGTTTTAGGAATTATTTTATAATGTTTAAAATTTTCTTTAAGGTTGCCCTTGAGTTTGTCTTTGTATTTGTTGATTTTGAATACTACTAATAATAATAATAATAAATAATAATAATAATAATAATTATTATTATTATTATTATTATTATTATTATTTCAAGGTTCTACTCTGTACGGAAAACAACATCAACCCAATATTAACGGCCGTTGTCAGCATGCCAGTTTCTGAAGGGGGCATGAACTTTTGACCACATCGTTGTCCTCCTCTTTTCCTTCTCTTCCTCTTCCTCATCATCATCATTATTATTATTATTGTTGTTGTTGTTGTTATTACTATTTTATTATTATTATCGTCGTCGTCGTCATTACTATCATCATCAAATATTTGAGAATTATCACTTTATTAATCGTTGTTTCGATTGCGTTTAAAATAATTTCAATCATATAATTTATATATATATATATTTATTTATTTATTCATATATATATATATATATATATATATATAAAGAGAGAAAGAGAAAGAGACAGACAAACAGACAAAAAAAGAAAGAGAGAGAGAAAAGGTGGAATATAGAGGCAGGATAAAGGACAAAAAGTTTAAAATTAATACTATTATATGTAGTATATTATATTATTACGAATAAAATATTATGTTAGCAGTATTATATGCATAAAGTAATGCAAAGTATATATAGTCAAATACATGCTGTATGTATGTATATATACGTGTGTGTGTATAAGTATATATATTTAGATATAAGGCCATTTTGTATACAATTTTTATTAAATATTATAGTATTATTTATTAAAGTATTTATATATTTCTAGCCCAGATTTTTTATCTATGTTTTCACTGAAATGTATAGAGATTATGTTTTGTCTATTGTTTATAAGCAGTGTGTGTTGCTACGTGACGGCCTTTAAATTTTAAATGTCCGATTCGGCGATTTCGTTTATTTATGGGAAGTTTTTCGAAGTAATTTATAATAAAAAAAAATCATTTATTTATTTATCTATTTAATTATTGAGTATTTCAAAAAACAAAGAAATAAAGTTAATAAATAAATTATTAATTTAAATTAATTAAAATTTATATTATATTATAATCCATAATTAATTAAAAAAAATGGCTGAAGAGGATTTTGCTCTAATGGTAAGGGAATTTTTTGTTTTTTTTTCAATCAAGCAATAATTTTTTACTAATTAATTATTATTAAAATTATTATCAACGTTATTATTAATAATTATTATTAATTGTAGGGCAGTTTAATATATTGGAGTCGAGAAAAGTGTTACCAGCACATGCAAACAATTGTTTCAGAGGCAAGAATGAAGTACATGGATGATCCCATTCTTATATATTTCAATGCCATCTCATTGCTATTGCAAGGTCCTCCCTTTTGTTTGTTTGTATGTATGTTCGTTTGTGTGAATGATTGTATGTACATTTGTGTTTGTTTGTATATATGTTCGTTTGTGTGAATAATTGTATGTACGTTTGTATGTATGTTTGTTTGTATGTTCGTTTGTGTGAATGTTTGTATGTTCGTTTGTATGTTTGTTTGTTTGTCATGCGTTTACATATACTGACTGATTTTAGGACAGCTACAAGAAAGTTTGCGACAATTTGAAGCCCTACTAAACAAGCAAGACGTTTACATCGGAGCCACTGTCGCCATGCTGCATATTCATAAGTCGGCCCGGGTTTTAGGTGATTGTGAAAATTAATTACTTCTGTATATGTCATTTATTTATTAACTATATCATATATTAATTATTATTAAAGATTATTGCAATTTTCAATGTTACCTAATCCCAATTTGTTAGTACGAACTTATGCTTATGCTACTAACAAGACACCTTGTTGTGAGTTAAAATAAATAAAACAAACACACTTCAGGCGTAATAAAATATTATCTTTATTCCCACGTGAATCTCGAACTGTTTCGTTTACAAGCTCTGGGGAAAAAGGGCAGAAGTCGAGAGAGAAGCAAAGACATAAAAATTAACATAGATTAAGTAACATTGAAATTGCAATAATCTTTAATAATAATTAATATATGAGATAGTTAATAAATAAATATTTGATCCCTACATGTCTGTCTGTGTGTGTGCCTGTCTGTCTGTGTGTGTGTCTGTCTGTCTGTGTGTGTGTGTGTGGTGTGTGTGTCTGTGTTCTCTTTTCTTTCTCTCTCTCTCTCTCTCTCTCTCTCTCTCTCTCTCTCTCTCTCTCTCTCTCTCTCTCTCTCTCTCTCTCTCTCTCTCTCTCTCTCTCTAAAACAGGGGAAATAAAAATGAAAATTATTTTCAAACGATTTCAAAATGAAAGAGAAGGATGCAATTCAAATTCTTGAGAGCAAGTTGAAAACTGAAAGAAAAGAGGGAAACGCCAAAGTATTTTAATATAATTTATTATTATTATTATTGTTATTATTATTATTATTATCATTGTTATTATTATTATATTGTCGTACCGTGATGACAGTCATCATGACGAAGTATAAATTATAAGCATAATTTAAAAGTAACTAATTAACATAATTTATGATAATTTTACCGCAACAGTCGTATTACTATGCCGGCCTGCTGTTAATGATGCTCCGCAAGCCTGACAAAGCCAGAGAGTACATAGACCGCTCTATCAAAATGAATCTATGCTATCTCGACAAGCAGGTCATAATAGGTCATAATAATTACCATAATAATTATAATTAATAATAATAACAACAATAATAATTATTATTTTTATTATGATAGTGATGGTGCTGGGGTGTCTGTGGATTTGATTGATTGTATGATTGTGTGGAATTTAATTCAAGAAGGCCATGAAGCTAAGAATGAATGACCCACTATTATTATTATTATTATTATTATGATTATTATTATTTTTATTATTGTTGTTGTTGTTTTGTGTTTTTAGATATTTGCTCTGAAAGGCTGGCTAGATCTGAACCACCCAGATATGGCCGTGTCGAAAAAGTCCCACTTGTTTTTCGATAGATCTCTAGGGTTTGTTATTGTTATTATTATTATTATTGTTATTATTGTTGTTGTTGATGTTGTTGGTGGTGTTGTTGTTGTTGGTGGTGTTGTTGTTGTTGGTGGTGGTGGTTATGGTGATGACAACTACTATTTCAAACAAAAAACAAACAAACAAACAACGAAAACTGCTACTTCAAACAAACAAACAAACAAACAACGACAGAGTCGAAGGCAAACAACACCCAGATGCCATTTTGGGAAAAGTCAAATACATACAACTACACAACAACAACAGCACCAACAACACAAACAAAAAGACCTCCGCCGACGACGAAATTTTAGAGTTGATCAACCAGCTGATTGTGACCTACGGACAATACCTACCGGGTTCGAATGCATGCTAATCTTTTGACGATTTTTCGTAAAAATTATTATTCTTAAAGTTATTAATACTGTTACATTTACTATTTATAAAATATTATTATTATTATTATTATTATTATTATTATTATTATTATTATTATTATTACTGTTGTTGTTGTTATTATTATTTTATTTTTTTTTATTTTTTTGAAGGCCTGATTGAGAAGATGAGGCAAAATATGTTGACGAAAAACTGGGAGCAAGTTCTCGACAACGCCCAAAGGTTATGATAATGATGACGATCACAATCATCATCATCATCATTCTTTTGATCATCATCATTCTTTTGATCATCATCTTTTTGTTCTTCTTCACCATCATCATCATCACCACCACCATCATCATCATTATCACCACCATCATCATCATCACCACCATCATCATCATCACCACCATCATCATCATCATCACCATCATTATCATTATCATCACCAACATCATCATCAACAGCACCATCATCATCACCA